GTTGTAAACGCCTACATTGAACAAGATCTTAAATCAATAATCTAACTTTACATAATAAACAAAGTAGAAAATAGGAAGTCATAATGAAAAAATAAAGCAAATGAATTACAAATGAAACCACAAGTCAGTTCTTTGAATAGATCAGCAAACTGACAAAGTTTTAGCAATGAAACTGGATGATTTACATGAAATAGAAAAATGTCCAGAAACACACAAACTACCAGAGCCGACTCAAGAATAGAAAATCAGACTTAAAACATGTAGTGAGATTAAATTAGTAATCAAAAACCTCTCAACAACGAGAAACCAGACTTTTAAAGAATTAACACCATTCTTTCTCAAACTCTTCCAAGAGTTGAAGACATAGGAATAATTCCTAACTCATTCTATGTGGCCAGCGTTAACCTACTACCACGGCCAGATAAAGACATCACAAGAAAATTACAGACTGATACCCCAATAAATATTTATGCAAAAATCCTCAATACAATATTAGCACGCTGAATTCAGTAGCAAAACAGGAGCATATACACCATGACCAGGTAGGATTTATCCCAGGAATTAATGCAAGGGTGGTTTAACATGAAAATCAATCAATGTAATACACCATTACCAAGATGAAGAATAAAGAAACCTATAATCATCTCATTTAATGCAGAAAAAGTATTTGACAATATCCAGCTCTCTTTCATAATAAAAGCACGCAACAAACTACAAACAGAACAGAACTCCCTCAACATGATAAAGACCATATATGAAAACCCATAGCTAACATATACTCAACGGTGAAAGTCTGTAAGTTTTTCCTTCAAGAAAGAACAAGAAAAGCACACCCATTTTTGCCACTTCTATTCAATATAATATTAGAAGTTCTAGCCGCAGAAATTAGGCAAGAAAAAAAAGGCATCCAAATTGGAAAGGAAGAAGTAAAATGATCCCTGTCAGAGATGACAAAATCTTACATGTAGATAACCCTAAAGAATGCACGCACACACGTGCACACACAGACACACACACACAGAGCTAATTCATGAATTCAGCAAAGCTGCAGGTTACAAAATCAGTTGCATTGCTATACACTAACAATGAACAATCTGAAAGGAAATTAAAGCAGTTACTTTTACAACAGCAGAAAAATCATAAAATATTTAGGAGTAACTTTAAGGAGTTGAAAGACTTACACACTGAGAGCCACACAACTGCCAAAGGAAATTAAGACATAAATAAATAGAAAGACACCCCGTGGTCATGGATTGGAAGACTTCCACTGTTACTGCCAGTACTACCTAAAGTGATCTCCAGATTCATTGCAATCACTGTTAAATTCCCAATGGCATTTTTTCAAGAAATAGAAAAACCCATCCCGAAATTCATATGGATTCTGAAGGGACCCCAAATAACCAAAACAATCTTGAAAAATTACAGTTGGAAGACTCACACTTCTTGATTTCAAAACTTACTACAAAGCTACAGAAATCAAAACGATGTGATACTAGAAAAAGGAGAGACATATATACCAGTGAAACAGAACAGAGTGCCAAGAAATAAACCTTTGCAAATACAGTCAACTCATATTCAACAAGAGTACAAGGTCCATTTGGTGGGGGAAAGGAGAGCCTTTTCAACAAATGGTGCTGGGAAAACTGGTTATCCACATGCAAAAGCATGATACTTGAACCCTTAACTCATACCATATATAGAAATTAAACTGGATGAAAGGCCTAACATAAGAGCTAAAATTACTAAACTCTTAGAAAGAAATGGGAAAGTTTCACAACATTGGATTTGGCAATAATTTCTTGGCTATGACACCGAGGAGATTGGCGACAAAAGAAAAAACAGATAAACTGGTCTTCGTGAAAATTAAAAACTTGGTGCATCAAAAGACACTGTCCGGGGGCACCTGGGTGGCTCAGTCGGTTAAGCATCTGCCTTCGGCTCAGGTCATGATCCTGGAGTCCTGGGATGGAGCCCCATGTCAGGTGCCCTGCTCAGCAGGGAGTCTGCTTCACCGTCTCCCTCTGCCCCTCCCTTCCACTTGTGTTTTTTCTCTCTCTCTCAAATAAATAAATCTACAAGAAAAAAGACACTGTCCACAGAGTAAAAAGGCAATCCATAGAATGGGAAAAAGTATTTGCAGATCACATTATCTGATAAGGGATTAAAATCCAGAAAACACAGAGAACTCCTAAAACTCAATAAAACAAACAACCGATTAGAAAAATAGGCAAAGGACTTGAACCGCTATTTCTCTAAAGAAGATCTACAAATGGCCAGTAATCACATGAAAAGAGGCTCCACCTCCCTTATCATTAGGGAAATAGTAATCAAAACCACACTGAGACACCACAGTGGTATTAGGATGGCTACTATTAAAAACAAACAAAACGAAAAGTGTTGGCAAGAATGAAGAGAAACAAACCCTCGTGCACTGCTGGCAGGAATGTAAAGGGGCAAAGCCACTGTGGAAAACTGCGCAATTCCTCAAAAAGTTAAAAACAGAACTACTATGTGATGCAGTGATTCTGCTTCTGGGCATTCTTGCAAAGGAATTGAAAGCAGAGACTCAAAGCGACACTTGCACACCTAGTTCACGGCAGCAGCGCTCACAATGGCTCATAGGTAGAAGCAACCCAAGTGTCCTTCAGTCGATAAATGGATATAGTGCGGTGTGCACAGACATTGGAATATCACCCAGCCTTAAAAAGAAGGACATTTCGACCCATGCTATAACATGGATGAACCTCGAGGACCTTATGGTGAGTGAAATAAGCCAGTCACAAAAAGACAAATACTGCAGTACTCCACTTCTATAGGAACCTACAGTAGTCAAATCTGTACAGACAGAAAGTAGAACTGTGGCTGCCAGGGACTGATGGGGGTGGGGGTGGGTGGGAAGTTCTTTTTCAATGAGGACAGAGTTTCAGTTTTGCAAGATGAAAAAACTCTGGAGATGCATGGGGATGATGGTTGAACAATATTAATGCTTAATGCACTTAAAACTAGCACTTAAAAAGGGCTAAGATGGCAAATTTTATGTCATATATTTTGCAATTAAAAAACTGGAAAAAGAAATAATTTTTAAATTTTAATTGAAGTGTAGTTGACATAAAATACTAAATTAACTTAGTTTAAGGCGTACAACGTTGTGATTCAAGATGCATATACGTTACAAAATGCTCACCATGATAAGTTTATTGCAATACCGCTATGTTCCCTGTTTCCTTCTCATCCCCCAAAAGAGTAAAGTCAACCTGCGGCACAGCTGTACATTGAAAACATTATGCTGAGTGAAATGAGCCAGGCAGGAAAGGGCAAACACTACATGATGCCACTTCTGTCCATAGAAAGTAGAATGAAAGTTAATAGGGGCTGGATAAGCAGAGGCACCAGAGACGGGGCCTGGAGACTATTTTTCTTAGAGGTTTCTATTTGGGATGAAGAGAGTTTTAGAAATGGATGGTGTGATGGCCGCACAACATTGTGAACACGTGGAGTACTACTGAATTACACACTTAAAAATAACTGAAATGGTGAACGTTATGTTATATAGATTTACCACAGTAACAATAAAAAATATTTTAAAAAATCTTGGTAAGACTCCCTGCCTTTCCAACAATGAGACCAGCGAGCTGGTGAGATGGGGTACGGCCTGCATGGGTATGAGAGCCCGTGTGCTGGAGTGACGGCGACGGGGAGACTCGCCCGCCCGGGCCCAGGGGGAGAACCCCGCAGGGCCAGGGGGCCGGGCTGAGGACTCTCAACTTGATCGCAGGATATACCAGAGAGGGGGTTTGAGGCATTAGGGCTCCAGGGCTGCCGTTGTCTGAAGAGCGTGCTGTCACTGGTCACTTGGAGGACACAGGGAGGCTCGGGCACCGCGTGTGTGGCAGGAGTGCAGAGAGCACTGGGGCCACAGCGGACAAGACGGACTGACAACGGGGCCGAAAAGCCAGTCCCAGCACATTTTAAAGAACGGCAAACACCCAAAGTCAGTTCTCTTACACGGTTCAGTTAGGCTAAAAAGCAGTAATAAAAAGAGTATGAGGAAATTAATAACTATATTGCTTCCAACCACAGTGGAAATTACAACATAATTTGAACTGAAGGTTAAAGAAAATGCTACATATCATCAAAACCTTTAGGATCCAGATAAAACCATGAGAGGGATTTTTATAGGTTGAACGCCTGTATTATAAAACCGAAAAGGCTGGAAATCAATGACCTGCACATCTCAAACATTCTCGGACACCAAAAGCTGCCCAGACATGGAAGGAGATAATAAAAGGAGAAACTGATGACACATTAGAAGTATTATCAGAGCCAAAACGAGTTCTTTGAGCAGGCTAATAAGGTTTATGAGCCCCTAAGGAGGCTGCACGGGAGAGGGAGGGAGGGGCACGTGCGCAAAAGCCACCATCAGAAACAAAAAACACAACATCACTACAAACTGTGAAGACAGGATGTTATGAGCAGCTTACGTCAATTAATTTGAAAACTTAAATTGAGGTATTTACCAAATGTTAGAAAAGCAGGGCTTAACAGAAAGAAAAAACAGAAAATCCAAACGGCACAGAAAGTATAAAAGGAATTGAACCCGTAACGAAAACCTTACCCTCAGGGGACGGAGAGGTGTGAGCAACACAGCAAAATGCCAGCCACGGCGTGTGGGCGGGGGCCCACGCACGCTCACTGTGCAATTTCCAACACTTCTGTATGTTTGAAAGTTTTCAAAACAAAAGGTCACAGGGAACCTCCCGCACTCACAGAAAGACCTCGCAGACCAGACGGGGTCACCAGTGGGCTCTGCTAAACATTCCAGGAAGAAGGGACACCACCTTGCACAACCGCCCCCTGAAGCCAGAGCAGGGACCGCTCCTCCCAGCAGGTGGTGAAGCTGGCCCAGCGCCGTCACGGGGACGCATCGCACGACGGAGCCCGAGACGGCAGCCCCGCGCCCCTTCCGCCCAGGCAGCCCGCGCCCGCTGCGCCCCACTTACGGCCTGCGCCTCGCCCGCAGCCGGGGGCCAGCCCGCCATGACCTCCATGCCATGCAGCCTCTGCGTCTGCTTCAGCTGGTTGAGCGAGGGCTTCAGCTGGGTGGCCCCCACCGTCTTGCTCGTCCACTCGTCCACCAGCTTGTGCAGGTCATCCGTGAAGGTGCCCGTCTTGTTGTTGCTGTTGTTTGCCTGGGCCTGGACGTGCAGGGTGGGCTGGGGGCCCGGCTCGGGGCCGGGGACCAGGCTGCTGGTGGAGGACCCTGGGGAAGCACACACAGGCCGGGTTGGCGACCTGCACACGGCGCCGCTGACCTGCTGCATCATTCATACAGTGGTCTTGCTTAGGCAGGCAACACCTTGCTTCAGGAGATGGTCTGCATTTGGGGGCCCGTGTGCCAGCTTTAGACACTTTGGAACCTGTCCACAGGCCGTAAGGACTAGGCCGTGCCGGGCCAAAGGACAGGACCCGAGACACTGGCAGCCTTACTCAGCATCCGCTCTGCCCATGCTGCCCAGGAACCCCAGACTCCCCCGTGTGAGGGAGCTCAGAAAACTGGGGGCAGACCCCCAGGCTTCTGCGCCCTGAGCGGGAACACAGGTGAGAATGCCGAGTGCTCAGCCCGCGGCAGCCACTGCCATCCCCTGGCAAAGGGAAGAGGCCTGAGAGGCTTGGTCGTCGGAATGCTAGTGGATTAGTGGTTTGGAAGTTTACGACACAAAATTGTGCCTCTCCTCACCACAGCATGTAAGGAAGGTATTAATAAAGCGTGCAAACACCCGACACCTTCAACTTCGGGCCCCCAAGCTCAGAGCCGTTTGTGGGGTGCAGAGCGTCTGCACCCGCAGGGACCGGGAGGCCCGGGGGCTGTGGTTCGGGGAGGGGAGGCCGCACAGAGAAGTCACACTCATCTGCTTCACTGAAGGATTAATTTTAAATGACCAACATGGGACTTTTTAGTTCTTTTTAGACTGTGACCCCCACCCCCACAACATAGAATTTTTGATGAGCAATTTAGAAGAAGCCCATTTAAAATGTTTCTGCATTAAAAAAATAGCGTAACGACCATCTCCTCAAACAAGCCGTTGCAAAATGTAGTCTAGAGTGACTAGCAATGAAAAAGCAGACACAAACAGTTCAATATTAGTGATGGAATTTAACACACACAGAGCTATTTCTACATGAATGTTTCAGCCAGAAAAGAAAAAAGGAGGGGAAAAAAAAAAGGTGTGAGGTGAGGGTGGTGGGCGGCCTAGGTGGACTGATACCCGTTTCATCCAGGCATCTCTCCTCGGGGGCACTCATCTTTAGCACTTCAAGGACATACTCATTCCTACGGTTTTGGAAAAGGAGCCAATTAACGATTGGTAATGTGTGGACGTTCCGGGGAAGGGGCGTGTCAGCGTGTCAACCGGCCAGGACACAGATTCTAGGAGCCATGGAGACGCGAGGGGCACCCGTGGACGGCTTTCCCTCCAGGCAGAGGCAAAGCAGTGCCCTTGGAGGGTGGGCGTGGAGACCCTGATGTGCACTAGCCACATGAAAGCCCATGCGATGGAGAGCAGACAAGGGGTAAAAAACCCGATAATTACGACTGCTGTGCTCTTTGCCTAGACAGAGACGCTTCAGGGCAGACCCTGCAAGGGAAGAAGAAACGACACAAGACCACAGGGTTAGGCAGGACAGCACACACGGGGGACGAGCCACCACACTCTAAGCACAAGTCATCAGTGTGCAAGGAAGAGCAAAGGCCAGCGCTTCAGAGAGGGGACCAGCCACCTGGGCTAACCGGGTGGCCCCGAGTCAGTGTGCGGGTTCACGTGAGCTTCACCGAGGGGCGGAGGTGCAGGGCCAGGCCCCAAGCTTCAGGTAGAAGTGAGTGTGTCTCTAAAAGCGTATTCAAAAAAAAAAAGAAAAAGAAAAGAGAAAAAAACCCCCAAAAAACAAAAAAGCAAAGCACACCAGTTGGTTTTCAAACAAGAGGCTTCTGGAGCCCCACTGATTGGGGCAAAAAACACCCTAAAAGTCAGCCAGGAGAGCTCAGTGGAGCCCCCCGGCTCTGCCTGCCCCACAGGCCCATGGAGATTTGTTTTCCAAGTGCAAAAAGATACATTGTTTTGCAGGTTTGAGGCCAATCCCAGATCCCAGGCGGCTGCCATGACCAGACCAGTGGCACACGTCGAAGGGAAAGTACAGGGGTCCTATCTGGGGAGGCGGGAAGCAGGGCTGGCCCCAATTTCCTGCACTGCTGCGGCCTCATCTGGTATCCCGAGTCCACTGGGACAGGGAGAGGCTCGTCACTCTTCCTTCGCTAAGCGTCAGGCCCTGCGGTCCTGGAGGCTGTCCGCGCTGCCCAGCACGTCCTGACGGTCAGTGCCCACCTGGAGGGCAGACGAGCTGGCCCTTCAGGGAGCCGGGCAGGCACAGTGGGACGGGCAAGGACGGCTCGGGCGTCCCCAAGGTCACTCAGCAAGGCTGCGCTATCAGAGAGGGTCAGAAAGGGTCGGCGCTCCCGCCCCAGCCCCTCACCTGAGCAGGACCCCCCCCACCCCCGACTCCCTGAGGAGTTGCCTTGCACCTTGCCAGGGAAGGCAGCTTGCCACCCCTGTGTTTGAGAAGAGAGGACAAAGGTCAGCCCAGGCTCCAAACGAATTGTTCTTCTAGTTCAAAAGGGAGATGATGTTCTGTTGGGGTCTGTAATGTGCAATAACAACGAAGGGGCCAGGCAGGAGTGGTCCGGACCAGTCGTCTCTCAGTGGGAGCTCTGCAGGGCCTTCACCGGTCTGTGTCCTGCATGGACTCCCACTGGGAGCACCGGGCCCTTTGGGGCCTCTGTGGCACTCGGGTCCCAGGCTCTGACTGTGCAGGGCAACAGGTGAGGCGGACTTCCCCAGCCAGATCCTGTGGCCTCAGCAGTCCCATACAGACGGCCCAAGGACATGGGGTCAGCCAGCCAGCCAGCTCCCCGCAGCCTGACAGCCGCGCGTTCTTTCGGGGCTGATTCCCACCATCCTCTCGACAAGAACAACGGAGCTGCCTGCTGGGAACCACCAGAGAAGCCTGGGCCTGAAGTCAGGGCCCCAGAGGTGGGGCCACCGGCCCCCATGCTCAGAGCTGGAGAGCAACACTGACCCACAGAGGCCTGCACACCCTCCCTGGGCAGGGCCCACAGGGAGCACAGACACTCCCCGCCCTAGTGAACTTCGGATCAGAAACGGACCCCACACCAAGATCGTGCCGTCCGCGCAGTGCAGAGCCGCAGCCCAGCACGGACGTGTCTGGTGACGAGCCCTCATGCATGCCACAGCCCTGCCCATCCTCGGGGGTCCCCTGAACCTCCTCCCCAGTGCCTGTGCCCTACCGCCCAGCACGCAGACGGCTGATGCATACCCCACCCAGCCCCACGCAGCCCCCTCCACGCCAGCGCACACACTGCCCTCCTGCCCGGGCCGCAACGCAGGGGCACTGGGGACGCACGGGCCCACAGGAAACCCGCTCGCAGCAGGAGACCTCCCCCGCAGGACTTCTGTCCTTAGCCAAGGCCTCGGGAAGAGCCGGCTTGCGGCCCAGAACTACCTGGGGAAGCTTCCACCTGGGCGGGGCTGCAGATGGAGAGCCATGTGGCCAGCTGTTGGGAAATGTTCTCCCAGGCTGCGAAAGGGCCGGGGGTCTCTGGAGGGGACACGCAAGCTGTTTCTGTGTGGACGGCCAGCCCTGCCAGCCACCGCCACCATCCCGACCCTCGCCTGGCTGCCAGGAAGATGCCGCAAACCCAAGCTTCCCTGCCACGGACAGACTGCTGGAGGGGGGGGCTGGGCCTCGGGCCCTCAGCACACTTGCCACGGCCTTCAAATACTGAGGCGGCTCACGGGGGGCTCCAGGGGCGGTGGCCTCGGCGCAGACCAGCCGGGGGTCTCCCCGCTCGCCCCGTGAGGAGGCCCGCCGCCAGCCGGTCGGGTTCGCCCTGCACAGTGGCACCAGATGCTCAGTCCTGGCGCCGGACCATACGAGCTGCCAGCACCAGCATGCCGCCGGTTTCTTTGTAACGAGCCATCAAGTCCTCACCGTGCCGAGCAAAGTGCCCAAACCAGCCCGTGAAGCACGAAATGGGAGGCGTCCCTGCTCTGCCCTGCCCTGCGCAACTGCCCCAAGGACAGCCCAGCCTGGGTGCCCGAAGGCCGTCTCCCACGCCCCGTGCAGCGGGTCCCCACAGGGAGGGTCCAGGACAGCACAGGGCGAGGGCAGGGCCTCGGGGGCCGCAGGGACAGAGCCGCTGCCACATGGACGGCAGGCTGACAGTGCGCGAGAACGCACATCCGAAGCTCGCCGTGCAGATGCCCCGGAGCCGTCGGCGCCTGGGTCTCAGCAGGAGCCAAAGGGGGGGGTGGGGGGGGGCGCCTGATGCCGCACCCCCGAATCCCGAAACGTGGGCCCCAGGTTGCCCTAAGCCCTCCCATCGGCCACAAGGAGGGGTCTGTGCCCAGGGCCTCACCCTGTCTGCGCTCCATGGGGGCCGGCCCTCCCCTCCCAACAGCCGGCCCGTCCGGGGGCCCACCCCGAGGAGGCACCCAGGCTTTGCCCTTTGCACGCTCTTCCTCCCCGGCCCGGCTGCCTTTCCCGCATGGGGTCCCCTCCTGGCGCCCTGCTCGTCTCCGACCCGGCCTGGGTGCCCTCAGGGACTCTGCACATCACAGAACTGTTATAGTCTCGTAACTTAACACAGACTGTTTTCCCGGAGCCATGCAAGGCCGGGCACGGAAGGCCTCTGGGCTTCTCTAGCTGCAGGCCGCACCAGCTGCACCCACATCCCACGGCTGCAGCCCCCGCTTGCCGCTGGCCCGGATCCCGGATGCCCAGGCCCCAGAGCAGGCCCACCTCGGAGTCTTCCCGCAGCCCTGCCCTGAATGCCCTTCTCTCTGCCACGTCTCGGCCCTTGGGGCTGTGACCAGGCTTTCACGGGTACCTGCGCAGCCTCCTCGGGCCTCCGAGCTCCCCAGTCAGCAGGAAAGCAGGCGACTGGCTCCCGGAGAGGCCGCGGGCTGGGCAGACCCCGGCGCACACGGCCTGGAGGGTGCGTCTTCACACACCCTTAGGCCACGCGTCTGCAGGGGACACAATCTGCCACGTGCTCTCCTGACCAGCAACCTCAGAGCCTGTGGGGGCCGCGCTGTGGCCGAGGCAACCAAGAGCTCGGCCAAGTCGTGCTTGAAAAGGACCATTATGGAAACAGCGACGTCACGGGGTGCATAGCACCGGAGAAGACGAGGCCACCAGGCCGGGACACACCACCACCCAAAATCAGCCCCCCTGGGCCAGGTGCCCCGGCTGCCACCAAGCCCTGCCTTGCATGTTCCTTTCCTCTTGGCCACAGAGACAGAAGTAAAGCCTAAACCACTTGTCCCTGATGTGCCTCCAATTTTTTTTTTAATCTTGGAAGAACAACAGTAAAACAAATGAAGGCCCCTAAACAAGAATGAAGAACCACGCGGGTACGAACGTGGAGCGGGGACCTGAGAGGAGCACAGGGTGCCTGACCGCTCACACCTTCCCACCCCACACACCCCAGGGAAAACACCACCTGCTCTAACCACCCCCTTCCCGCGCCTGACCAGAGCTGTTCCCAGCAGCAATGCAACCGCCCATCGGACCACGAGATGCCCTCCCCACACTGTCCCCAGGAGACAGCCACGCGCTCTCGGGCAGAAGAGGACCAGCGAGTGACCCAGGGAGAGGGATGCGCTCAGACCTCAACCCCCGCCCCGCCCCAGCTCGGCAGCTAACCAACGGCTCAGTTGGGACACCTGTTAGGAGACGAGGACCACTGGACAGTCCCTGGGAATCGCTGTGGTTCTGTGCCTCTGACCTCTGCTACCTGGGGGAGGGTGACATGGCCCCTCTGATGGGGATGGATGCCCACCGTGGACGTGGCCTCAGGTCCCGACAAACACAATGTATCTTTATTGTACCAGCAAAAAGCCACGTGCCCCAAACCAGCATTTCCAACCCAATTGAGCGAAGTTCAATTTTTGTGTTAAACAAACACCTGAAAACCCCACAGCTTTGGATTCATTTTCCAATCGTTCTGAGGGAGGAAATAACTTTGGATGGCCCTGAGCAGGTGCGCCCTTCCTGGACAGGAGTCCTGGGTGCCAGCAGGACATCCCAGGAAGCTGAGGGCCACCGGGGCTGAGGTTTGGTTGAGCAGAGCTCGGAGGAGCTGTGTGACCGACGTCGTGTCAGGTCTGTGAGGTGAGAGCGGTTCACCAAGGCAAGTGCTCCAGCTAGAGACCAGGAGGGGCCGGGCCACAGGGGGAGCCAGCGTGGAGGCCGGGACTTGCCAGGACCCCGAGAGGTTCCCCAGGTGCCCAGAGCGCAGGGAGGGGCGGGGTGTCCCAGCTGGAGCACCTTCTCTCAGCCTTTCCACATGCAGGGAGCGGGCGTGGGGTAACGGTGCTGAGTGCTGCAGCCCTTGTACAGAAGTCACACCCTCCAGTGACCTTCTAGAACTGTCTCAGCTCGCTACATGCAAGTCTTCAGAATCCAGACGCGTGTGACATACACCACGCGTCTAGAGAAGGCCGGGGCTGTCTTTTTGTTGCCGCTGGAACTGGGGACGGTGGACGTGCGTATGCACCACAATTGCAACAGAAATAAAACTACGTCCAACGTAAAAAATACAAAATTAAACAAACGGGTGAGGAGAAAAACGCAGAGCGCTTCGGGGGCCTGGGGGGCAGGGGGCCTGAGGCCGGGGGCGGGCGAGCCGCTGCACATGCTTCTGGCCCCGGGCGTGAGCTGAGTGCATGCGCCGCCTGGTCAGGGCCAGGAGGGCGGGTGTGGGCAGGGCCCTGCGCTTGGTGGCAACCAGGTGGCTGCAGTGGGTGGGGAGGCATCCTACAGAATGTACGGAAGGTGATGGAGACAGGGAGGGGCAGGGGGAAACCAAGGGCCAGGAGGTGATAAAATACAAAGAACAAATACAGACAGATGGACACAGACACGGGTCCACTGAGGAATCGAGCGCGAGGTTTGCTACTAGACTTATAGGTCAGTCTCTCAGACGTTGGGTGGTAAACCGTCCAGCCTGCAAATGAATATAGAGGGAAGAGAACAAAGAGACAGGCATCAAGTACAGTCTCTGGGACTCGTGCCTCACACCACCAGCCACATCAGCCTCGTCACCTAGCATCCACGGTTGTGCCTAGCCCAGCCCGGAGGACCACGGCCGCCGACCACGTAATGGAAAGGAGGCACCGCTGGAGCACGAGAGAAGTGGACCCTGGGAGGGCGTGCGGGGCGGCCGGGGCAGGCGCCGTCAGCGGTCCCCACGACTTCTCTGGACAGAGATGGTGGGGATGGAGCCCCTGCTCACGCGGCTGCCGCGCCCACGGCCGAGGTGACGAACACTTCCTCCTCGAGGCAAACCCCCAGCTCGGAAGCCGAGCCCTCACATCCCCCCAGCCGTCCCTCCGGACAGAAGGCCCCGTGTTTAGCAGGCAGCCGGGCCAGTGCCTGGGGACCGGCACGGAGCACGCGGCCGACGCCCTGTCTGCCAGGCGGTCCCGGCGCCTTCCCCGGGGCGGCTCTAGCAAAGCACGCCTCCCGCTGAGCCGCGCGCAGCCGGACTCGGGGACGGGTGGGCCACCCACTCTCTTTACTCAGAGGCTACGTCTACCGGCTTTTCCTCCCGAAGCTGTGGGCAGCCTCTGCGGCTGCTCTCGCCCCCTCACTCCACGGGGGCCCTGCGCGGCTAGCACATGCTCGGAGACGGGCAAGCTGGGAATCACCTGGGCCGTGCGCTCCGCCTCCATCACTGGCTAAGCCGGAGCAGATGTCTGCAGACAGGGAGGCCCGCATGGAGCAGGGCTGCTGGGTCTGAACTGCCTTCCCACACGGGTCTGAAGCTGCCGCGGGCCCTGCCCCGGCTTGGGCAGGGTCCTTAGCAGGAGGGGCTCTGCTGCAGTCTGACAAGTGACCTGGGGGAGGGGGAGAAGGGGTGACGGGCACAGTGAGGCGCTGCGGGTCAGACCAGCCAGCGCGGAGTGCATCTGTCCTCCCTGCTCGTTGCTGGGTGACCTTGGGGAAGCGGAGTCCCTGCAGGCAAAGGGCACGGGGCCTAGCGGCCGAGTGCAGGTGTCAGGAAATTCGAGACCGGCTGCCCACGCCCTGCCAGGCGTACGGCGTGCTGTGCGGAGCCAGGACCGCGGCACGTCTGGAGAGGCACACCCGGGTTCAGGAGGCCTGTGACGGACCTGCTCACTCTAACCAGTTTCCAGTTTGCTTTAGGAATCCTCCTGGAATTCACATAGTCTGTGTAACTTGCAGTTCCCGGCCGTGTACCCTGCGGGACCCCCATGACACCGAGAGAGCAGCTTGCAGCCGGCTTCCCGCCCGGCACGCTGGGGGATTCCAGCTCATTCGGTCTCGGCCGCAGAGTGCGGGGGTCGGCGTGCACCCTCCGTGCCTGGGCGTCCCCCCCAGCCCCCGTCCCGAAAAGGCATCTGCTCTACTCCCCACTTTCAGCAGGTGACAGGTGCCTGAAAAATGGCCAGAGGAAGCAGCCCAGACCCAGGCAGCGCCCTGCAGGGGGTGCGCAGGCGGGAGACCTGAGCCACCGCCTCCCGCGCACCGGGCAGCCCCCAGGCGGCGGAGAGCTGCGAGCAGGCCCGACTCACGGGGGGCCGGCGGCCTGGCCCTTCACACCTGCAAAGGCTTCCCGGCCCCCATGAAGGGAGATCCAAGACGTGCTCTTCCAGGGGTGGGCGCCTGCCCCCGCCCGCCCAGCGGACGGCCGGGAGGGCACAGACCTGTGCTGGAGGCCACGACCTTGAGCTGCTGCACCAGCGGGTTGAGCAGCTTCCCCGCCTTCAGCTTGCTCTTGCTCTTTCTCCTGCGGCCGGCGGGAGGGGCCGTGTGGAAGAGGCCCAGGTTGGGGGGCAGCGGCTTGCCCAGGCGGCGGTACAGAGCCTCGATCTCCTGCTTTTGCTGGCTTTGCAGCTCCGAGATCTCCTTCAGGTGCCTGCAGGAGGGAAGGGAGGGCGGTGGGCATCCTGAGCTGTCCACCAGAGCCCTGGGCAGGCAGGCAGGGCGCGCAGCCGCAGGGCCCACGGACCAGGACCGCTCAGAGGCAACAGGTGCATTCAAGACTTCCAGTCTTCATCTGCACCAAGAGGGCCCCGCTGGGGGTCTCCTGCACACACACACACCCCCAACGACGCTGAGGGCACGAGGAAGAGCCTCAGGAGATCCAAGTTCTCACGACGCTGCCGCTTTGAGTGGTTGGGGAGTTCACATCTACGCTCACAACACACACCCTACAAACCCCAGTGAAGAGAAAAACAACCAGAACTGAGAGGCTGCCTCAGCCCTTCCAGCAAAGTGTCATTCCTCCGAGTGAGGGAGCCATAGGGGAGGCGTTGCAGATGACGCCACGTGAGCAAGGAGCAGCCAGGGTCCTGCCAGGGGGGCGCCCTGCACAGCCAATACCACCCCCTGGATACACGGCCATGAAAACCCAGGTGCAGAATTACTGACTGTGGGCGAGGGAAGCTTCTAGAACAAGCCAGAGAAGGGGACCCACTGGCCTAGCCCACAGCCACCGTGCTCGCCTGCCCGCTCGCCTGCCTAAAAACCCTGGGCCTGATGCCAGCCCCTCAGACGTGTCTGATGGGCCTGGCTGCCCTGGTCAGGGGGCTCAGCTCCTCCGCCACACCCGGGGCCCATCTTCTCAGTGCGTGGTTGGGAAACGGGGGTTTCTCGTGGCTGGACCACAGGAAGCAAATTCTGGTTTCACCTCTGTTATCCTCAATGCCTGCGAGACTTTAGGAAGATGATTCTAAACAGCAGATTGCTTTCTGCATCAGATTCGCCTCTGATGGGGTGATATTTTGAGGTGAAATTGCTGAGGGGGAGAGGGATGGCAGGTCACCGGGAGCATTGGACTCAGGAGGACCTGGGGGAGACCCCCACTCGGAGGCTCCTGTTCCTGGGGCTGCGGCAGGCATCTCAAAGCGCAGGGTTCCCGGGGCTCTAAGAACCACAAGTGGCCCCCAGCCCGGGCCGGGCACCACTGTCCCCCACGGTGCCCACGGGGTCTGAGCAAGCAAGGCTACCTTCTATCAGGTGCCGTCAGCTCCCCTCAATTCAGGTACAGAATCTCCCTGCCCCCTCCTAAACGGTCTCCCCTTTCCACTGGGATCCATGCCCCTCCAGCAGGCAAGAGCCTGGACTTACCGCTGACGCCCCGCTTCCTCAGACCCCCCCAAACCCTTCCTTTGACGCAACTCTGGATCTGGTCCCGCCCCCACCTCCAGGCCCTGCGCCCTGGGAGCCGGCGGCAGCTGGCCCCAGCCCCTCCCCCGGCCCCCCTCGTTGCTGTGGACCGCAGGCTCCCAGGGCGACCACCCCCGGAGTGAGAGTTTACAGGTGAGCCCCTCACCCCCGACGCCCCACAAGGACATCCATCCCTGGACCGAGCACCTCCTGCCTCCGAGTCCAGGGCTTGCTCCGTGCCAGGGCTCAGCGGCTGGCTGCCTGGGGCACCAGGAGGAGGGGGTTACGAGCGCCTGGCAAGTGCCCTAGGGCTGGTCCTGACACGGCGGCTGGGACAGGTCGGAGGGAGGCTGGAGCGCAGGGCCGGAGCGGGGGGAAGGAATAAGAGCGTCCCCAACACAGCGGGGCAAGTCACACTTGCTAGGGGAGAGTGCCAGCCCACCGAGGGCCACCACAAGAGAGCAGGGGCCAGATCAAGCCGCGGCAGGACTCTCGCCTCTGCCCTGTCCCCAGCACAGGCAGCCCCAGGGGGACACGGCGGGATCCCCGGCTTCAGCTGCGGACACTTCCCCGAGCCGCCCCCAGTGCCTGCTTCTCAGGACCTACTTCTCCCGAAGACTCTGCAGCTCCTTCCTGATGTCCGCATCCTCAATCTCCGAGTCGTTGTCGCTGCTGATGTAGGATGACTGGGAGTGGAAGGAGGTCACGCTGATGGTGGGCACCTTCACGCCCACTCTGCTGGGTGTCTCCGGCCCCGGGGAGCCGGCCCGTGAGGACCTGTGCAGGAAGGTGGTGGCCTTCTTCACCAAGTCACTGGCCACGCTGCCGCCACTGGGCAGGGAGGCGTGCTTCTGCGCGGGGGGTCTCCTGCGCGGACACTCATCCCCAGAGTCACTGGACACCGGCTCACCCGCGCCGACCTCGATGGACGAGGCTGTCTGCGCCCGCCGCACAGCCAGCTTCACGTCGGGGCTGTGGGGGGCCTCCTTCAGGTACACATCTGGGGGCGCTGAGTACCGCAGGCTGTGGGGGGAGCCCAGGGTCCACTCGTCCTGCATGCTGACCACCGAGAACCGGCCCACGGTTTTGGCTGGTGAGCTGCCGTCCTGCTGTCCTAGACGCTTCTGGGGGGACTCGGAGGCGAGAGTGCCCTGCATCTGGGGGAGGCCGGTCTGGCTGTCTTCCGTCAATGTCCCCAGGATGCTCAGTGTGGGCTGGGCTGAGGATTCCCCAGGGACCCCACTGCTGCGGTCTGCGGGCTCCAGATGTGCAGGGAAGGCAGAAGCAGGGACATCCTTGAGAAGGCGGGGAAAGGCAAAGTTCTCACCACGCTCCAGCAGAGAGGAAACCCCACCGACCAGCTGGGCGTCTCAGAGAACACTCCTTACCTGGGGAGCACTTGGAGCTATGGGCAAGCCTGAGGCCGTCACTTGGCTCAAAGATGCTGCTGCTGTAGGAACGTCAAAATCATTACTCAGGTTGGTGTGGAGGACAAGGGCAGGAGTAGGTACCCTCAAGCTGAATCAGATCAGTGAGAGGGCAGGCTGCCCCCCACCCAAGGAAGGGGGACCTGCAGTGTCTGTGCTCAGCAACTAGGAAAACCAAAAATATCCCAGGATGTCCTACCCCCCTTTTTTCTTAGGAGACCCCAATAACTTGGGGAAAGGAGGGTTCAGCCTATCACCACTCAGGTCCCCGGAGGCACCTGCTCGAGAACCTCGGGCACTACACCGCCCTCTACACATCTGATGGCATCGCCTGTCCCACCTGCGCCTTCTAGCCCCTGATGGCGTCAATCTGCGTCACAGGTCATCCCTACACACCTGACGTCTCCGCCCCGTCTCGCCTGTCCTCTCTACACCCGAAGGCCTCCCTGACATGACACCTCTGCTGATAAAAGGGTCTCAGGAGGCCCTGCATCAATAGCACCAGTCCCTGACCCTGCTGCTCCCGTGTCTGGGGAAAGACCCTGTCACCTGACGCTGTCTCTGTCTCCCCATCCACAGAGTGCAGACATGGCGGGGTATTTCTGACCCCCTTTCCCAGGACTGCTGAGTGACAGAGCAGAAGGAGCTGACGTGTGGGAGACTGGGGGAGCTGAGACCCGCACACAGCAAACGACAGCCACAGGCAGGCAGGGGCTGCGTGTCAGCCCGCGGCAGACGGACATGCTTGGAGCAGGGGTGACAGCCTCCGGCAAGGTTTGGGGGCTGTCCCTGCACAGACTCCTGGGGAGACCCAGACCCAGTGGCGTACACTCCTCACCCACAGGCAATGCCTGACGCCCATCCTTACCTACTCCCGGCAGTGGGGACCAGCCAACCTGTCTTTGTACAGCTCCAGGGACGGGGGGCTCACGGTCAACTACACTCCCTCTCTTTCTGGACAGCTCCGACCTCCAGAAACGTTTGCCTTTTCCAAACTAGAATCTGCTTCCTTGAGCTGCCCAATTCCGGCCCTCCGCGAGGAGTGCATTTGGGACTGGCTACAGCACCAGCCTCCCGGTGCCGCAGGAGGGGCCCAGAGTGCGCGTCTCAAGCACCGAAGTCAGATGAAGCAGGCACTCCTCGTACCTTCCAGCACGTTCCTGCTTTACCACCCGACCCTCACTTTCCCAGGGAAACGGCACACAGCTTCCGACCCCACTGCCGGCTGTCCCCCCGCCTCGACGGTGCGCCACCCAAGCATGCGGCATCCAGGGGTCGGACCAGATCCCGCAGGCCGCTCCCCTCATGCACACGGGCCTCATCTGCCTCGGACACACACCCAGGGGCCTCTCACGAGGTCAGCTGGATCCCTGTCTTGCTGATCTCCCGAGGAATTGCAGGCCAAGAAGAAACCCCACACCTTAGAAGATCAGACCAGCGCCCTTGGGCTGAGACACAGGTGTTCCCGCAGAAAGGGGACCCTCAGAGAAAGCCCCGATTCAGGAACTCGATGGCCCCAGCCTGACCGTTTCCACAGACCTGCGGGAAGCCCCCAGCCCCAGCCCTGCGCTCTACCAAAACGGCCTTCAACGCCTTGTAACCTTCTCAAGAACAGGGGCTAGGGGGTACCTGCCAGAGCGCTTTGAGAGCACGGCTGCTGACAGCCCTAGTCACAGCCCGACACCCAGCCATCCGGGCTTTCACCCATTTCTACGGAGAACTTTCTCACCTTGGGGCATGAGCATGTCACGGTTTGTAAGGAGACATAGTGGGCTTTAACCTACACCTCACGATGGGCTCCTGCTATGTCTGAGTCCTACCCAAGATGCTATGGGGATGAAGGATGCAGATGCAGGAAGGCTGGTAGCACCTCGTGAGCACTGGGGTTCTGACGGGTGACCTGGGGCTCATTACCTGTCACTGGCGAGGACCCAGCCTGGTCCAGCGCAGCCCCCAGCCCCGGAGCGGTTTCTGACTTTCCCAGCTGGAGGAAGAAATAGAAAGAGCCATGAGTCTCGCCTGCTGAGCTCTGCAGCTACCCAGCGGATCTCCTGTATGGAAGCCGGGCTCCTCCCCGGGCCGCCCCAAGCAGACCCCATCCAGGCCAGGTCCCAACCCTGCACACACACCCCAGTTCCCCAAATGAGCCACTCTGGCAACACGCACGGGGTGGGCCTCTGAGAACGGGACAGTCAGGGCCAAGAGCGGCAGCTCTGCGTGCCCAGGGAGCCCGCCACCCCGGTGGGACCAGGACTCACCACAGGCTGGGGCTCCAGGGCCAAGTCTCGGTCCCCCACCTCCACGGGGGTCCCAGCCGAGGCTGAGGAGGTGGGCATGTGCTCCTGGTAAAGCAGAGTTCGGAGCTTCTCGTCCAGGCTCTTGATGGTGCTGTCCACAAAGCCCACCCTGGGGGGCGGCCCCTCCCCATCTGACTCCAAGGCTGAGGGTGGCTGGGGGGGCATGGTGGGCCCCAGGGGGGGGCTGGGGATCGGGGGGGTGGCCAAGCTGATGGCCCCCACCGCAGGGGGGAGTGGGGGCAGGGGCTGGCCCAGGGCAGGCTGAGGGGTCCCACTGGGGGCACTGGGTGCAGGGGCCGGAGCCCACAAGGGCTCGCCCTGGGCAGTGGCCTCCCTGGTTGAGGTGGGCTCTCCCAAACCTGTGCGGTAACGGGGGGCCTCCAGAGGTGGGGCACAAGGCCCTGCGCCCGCACCCAGAGGCTGTGCAGCAAGCTGGGTGTCTTGAGTCTCTGCCAGTGGCTGAGGAGTCTCGCGCTCACTGGCCGTCCCCTGAGAGGTCCCCGGACCCCCTGCCTGCACAGCAGTCCCCACTGCTGGCTCTGGCCTGGGGCTGGCAGCTGGTGCAGCCGTGTCCTGGGGCAGAGCAGTCACAGGAGGGGAGGATGGTGCCAAAGGGGCTGGGGCGCCACCAGGGATGTCCCTGGGGCCTGCTTGGCTCAGAGGCTGCGGACTGGCTGGGAAGCTGGATTTGTCCTTCAAGGACAGCTGGTCTTTACAGGGCGCGGCATCTAGAAGAAACAGGAGAAACGCCTCTGCACCAGCCTACTGTGGTCCTATTTACCTGGCACGTCTCTGGCCAGAAAGATGCCTCCTACGACCTGCAGGCCCCGCACACTGGCCTTCCGTCCTTCTCCCCAGTGCACCAGCTTCACACACGGGCTGCCCCTGCCTGAGATGCCTTCCGAGGTCCTGCAGCAGCCTGGCTTCTCTCTTCAGGCCTCCGTCCCACCACTGTCCCCTCAGCAGAGGCATGCCCACTCCCTTCCCTTCGCTCTTCCTGCAGCACTTGGCCGTCAGGCATAACCCACTCCTCCGAGCCCCCACCTGCTAGGGGAGCTACATGAACCGCGGCCCTGCTATCCTTTCCACCGGCCCATCCCACAGCGCCATAAAATGAACTTATGGAAGCAAGGTGTCTGCCCAGTGAGGACCACACCCTCCCCCGCCCCCGAGTGAGCAGCAACGTCCCACGAACAGGCTTCGGTGAGGTCAGAAGCACACACCAGCTTCGGTAGGTCAGAAGCGCCCTACCAGGGGCTGGGAAGGGATCATCGGGAGGAACCCTGGGAACCGGGCGATGGAACACGGCTCAGCGGCCTCCTGCCCAGGACCTCCCCGCGCCTGGAACATCCAGAGGACGCAGGAGGTCCTGTCTCCCGAACGGACTTGTCCTTTGAACCTACTTCACTTAAAACTGCATAAAACAAAAATGAGAAGCTTACCAAGATCAAGTGGGGAGGGAGAGCGCCGGGATCCCCCGCCCCCGGACTCACATTGCCCCTCCCCGAGCAGGTCACAGAACTCCACATCTGGTTTTCTCTACAGCATCGCCATGTAAACATGTGCTCTAAACACCACGGCTCAGTTCTCCCTGATTTTGAATATCGTGTCAACCGGCCCATGTTCCTTCCTTCCTGTCTGGCTTCTCTCTCGCCACCGTATCCGGGAGGCGCGTCCGCATAGTTTCACTCCCTGACGCTCCCACGACTTCGAGCCATTGAGCTGCTAGTGTGACCCGCTTGCTGCCCGTCTGGGACACAAGTGACACACATGTGTGAGTCTGCCTGGGCTCATCTGCCGGGCATACAGCCCACACGGGGCTGCTGGGTCGGGGGGCTGCAGCCTACAGGAGGGGGTGCCCGAGCCGCCCCCAGAGCGGCCCCTGTGCTCCCGCTCCCCCACATCATCCTGGGCAGCGTAACAGCGCCTAACGTGATTTCGCTGTTTCTTTTATTGTGGTGGAGCACTCAACACACGATCAACCCTCTCGGCAAAATTTTAGGTGTACATGCAGTGCTGGTGTCTGCAGGCTCGGGGCTGCGCGGCCAGTCTCGACAGCTCCCACCCCGCACAACTGAAACTCCATCCCTCGAACGGCACCCCCGCCCTTCGCTCCGCTCCGCTCCCGTGAGTTCCAGGACTCTTGGGGGCCCTGTCAGCGTCAGCAGTGTTTGTCTTTTGGTGACCGACTGATCTCACTTAGCATAATGTCCTCAAGGTTCGTCCAGGTTGTTCCCAAACGGCAGGATTTTCTTTTTCAAGGATGAACACTATGTCCTTGTAAGTAGCTGCCACATTTCATTCATCCATCCATGGAACATTTAGGCCGTTTCCGTATCTCGGCTAATGTGAATAGTGCCGCAGTGGACGTGAGGGTGCAGATATCTCTGGGATACCGATTTCATGTCCTGCGGCTAGGCACCCAGAGGGATCACTGGATCAGAGGGTAGCTCTTTCTAACTTTCTGAGGAACCTCCATACGGTTCTCCAGAGTGGCAGCACCAGCTTGCATTCCCACCAAGAGCGCACGAGGGCTCCCCTTTCTCCACATCCTCACCAATACCGATCTTCTTCTGTTTTTTATATTAGCCGTCCTGACAGGCACTCAGTGCTATCTCCGTGCTTTTCGTTTGCATCTCCCTGGGAACAAATTAAACTGAGCACCTCTTGGGTTAATCTGGATACCTGCTTTCACACCATACCTGTCCACGTCCCTTGTCTGTCTTTCCGTAGAGGTGTCATGCTTTCCTTTTTGATGGACAGGAGTTCTGTATGTGTGCGGGATAAGAACATTTTGTTGCTTACACGTATTGTAAATATCTTCTCTCACACTGCAATTTGCCTATTTGCTCAATTAGTCTTTTAGTGAACAATACTTACTCATTTTAATGTAATCAAATGTAACCAACTTTTAGCCAGTCTTTCCTTTAGCACTTTTTGTGAAGATGTTCTAGGTCACTTGTACACTGAGAGTCACAATCCACTTGTAATGAGTTTTACAGTATGAGGTTAGAAGCAAGGATTATTCTCCCAGTGTGGAGAGCCCATAGTCCCAACTCTTTGTTTTGTTTTGTTTTTTTAAAGATGTTATTTATTTGACAGAGAGAGACACAGCGAGAGAGGGAACACAAGCAGGGGGAGTGGGAGAGGGAGAAGCAGGCTTCCCGCGGAGCAGGGAGCCCGATGCGGGGCTCAATCCCAGGACCCTGGGATCATGACCTGAGCTGAAGGCAGACACTTAACGACTGAGCCACCCAGGTGCCCCTCTTTGTTTTGTTTTTAAAGAGTTTTTTTTAGATAGAGACAGAGCATGCGTGGGGGGGAAGGGCAGAGGGAGAGGGACTAGCAGACTCCCCACTAGGCGCAGAGCCCACCTCGGGGCTGGATCCCAGGACCCTGAGCTCACAACCTTATCCGACTGTGCCACCCAGGACCCCCAACTCTCTTTTTTGTTTTCAAGATCACCCTGTCCTCACGGCCCAGGAGTCAGGCCGTTCTTGTCAGTCGAGCGGGCGTGCCTCTAGATGCTTTTACTCCACTGCTCAGTGTACTCCTCTTCCAGTGCCACAGTGTTTCCATAGTCGTGGGTTTACATAATTAGTCCCGACACTCGACAGAACCATTTCTTTCCTCTAAGAGAGTATCTTGGTTTTTCCTGGCCTTTGCGTTTCCACAAATACTATATAATCAGCTTGTCAATGCCCATAAAATATTGTTACAATTTTAACTGGGACAACACTGAATCTACAAATCCATTTGGGGAGAAGTAATGTGTTTACACTATTGAGTCTTCTAATCCATGAACATGGTATATATCTTTTCATTCATTTCTTTTTAAGTTTCTCTCAGTGTTTAAAGGTTTGGAGTATAATGGACTTATTTTTTGTTAGATCCATCTCTATTTGATGTTTGGTATTATTATGTTAGCACAAATGGGAATTTTTCTAAATTTCACTTTCTAACTATTGCTAGTATAGAAAAATAACTTTTATTTAGCTAACTCACTAAACTCAATTTTAATTTGTAAGTTTTAATTTCCACATATGTGCCATATAGTCACTTTGTCAATAAATAATAATTTATTTCTTCCTTTCAAATCCTGACATCTTTTTAAAGTAATAATTAAGTGCCATTAAACACAGGTTAAAAAAAAAATTATTATTACCACAAATACTATTACACAATAATTTACACCTCAAAATGGGAACCAAGTTTTAGCACACATTCCTTGGAAAGAATTATAATTTGGCCCCAAACAGTAATTTCATATCAAGGGCTTCTTCGTAAAAGATCATATTGTTCTGTTCAAATGTTGAATAAAAGGTAATAATGTTAAAAGAAACATCACCTTTTACGAAACACCCATATGGAATGACATTAAAAAATCAGAATAATCATTCAGCTCTGAGCATCTATTATGGAAGCCTACCTTAAGTTGGTACCAACTCAAAAAAGCCAAAATTTACTTTGGGAAACCTTGTTTTGAGAGGAATGAATTTTCTTCAAATGAAAAAATAAAGCTACTGTACTATTACCGTAACACCTCCAAAAATATTTACAAAAAGTGGACAGGGAACTAGCTCTTAAATTTGACTGCAGATTGAACTCACTTGGAGGAGCAAAAGATGACAACACTGGGTCCCATCTGCAGAAATTCCGATTTTACCATACGAGGCATACTTCTTCAATCCTGCTGCTTTCCTTTCTCTCTTTTTATTATTTCTTTTTCCCCTTCTCCTCTTCCTCACCCTCACTCCATGCTTGTCCTTCTTTTCCTTCCTGATGTCTTACCCCACATTGCACTAAGCCCTCCAGTAGACAGTGGAAATAAGTGGTGATAATTGGTATTCTGTTGTTCTCCATCTCAAAAAGAAAACATTCAACACATCACTATTAGAAATACTTGCTTTTTAAATAGATATTGTCAAATTAAACTAATTCACTTTTAACCTATCTTCCTATTATCCAAAGGCTATCTTCCTATTATCCAAAGGCATTAATAGACTTTGAATCTTATGAAATGCCTTCTTCCATTTACTGAGATGATCACATGCTTCTCCTTTAATCTGTGCCTCTGGCAGCTACCATTTCCCTCTCTGGTTCTATGAACTTTTTTTTTTTTTTTTCCAGACATCATAGAGTATTTGTCTTTCTCCCTCTGGCTTATTTCACTTAGCATGATGACCTCCACGTTCATTCATGTTGTCACAAACAGCAAGATCTCCTTGTTTTTATGGCTCAGTAGTATTCCACTGTATATATTTACCACATTTTCTTTATTCATTCAAGTGTTAACACTTAGCTTGTTTCCATATCTTGGCTATTGTGAATAATGTTGCAAGGAACACGGGGGTACAGATATCTCTTCAAAATAGTGACTTCATTTCTTCAGATCTATACCCAGAAGTGGGATTGCAGGATCATATGGTAGTTTTATTTTTTTGAGTAACTTCCACACAATTTTCTATAATGGCTTTACCAGTGTGTATTCCCACCAGCAATATACAAGGTTTCCCTTTCTCCCCATGTCCTTGCCAACAATTGTTATCTATGGTCTTTTTGAAAACAGCCATCCTGACAGGTGTGAGGCAATATCTCGTTGTGGTTTTGATTTGCATTTCCCTGATGATTAGTGGTGTTGAGTACCTGTTCATATATCTCTTGGCAATTTCTATGACTTCCCTGGAAATACATCTATTCAGATTCTTTACATATTTTAAATTGGATT